TCCATGAAGTGAATTTTGATATTTTTTTAACTTTTAAATTGCTCTATTAAGCGGTAAGATAAAATAAGTAATTAATTTTATAAAAAAACCAGTTTATCAATTATGTAAAAAAGTTTGAATGACAATTATGTTAGATGTAAGCGCAATTTACTAATGAAAAAAATTCAAATAAAATTAAAAAATACAAAAACTTAATCTCTATTAAGCTAATTATTTTATTAAACAGAAAACAAAATTGTGTACAGTTAAAAACAATTTGTACTTTTTTTTTTTTTTTTTTTGCAAAGTTATTAATCAGAACATTGAAAAAAAAAAAAAAAAACATAAAAGAAATATGTATAATAAAAACTTTTATATATCTTGAGAGGAAAAGAATATTTATGGAACTTTTGATTGCATTAAAAAAAATATTTATATATATATATATTTTTTAATTGTCGATTGATTTTTTCGCTTGAAAAACGCTAATACTTAAAGCTTGAAGCAAAGATCATTATAATGTAATTTAGTTCTGATGAAAAAATCAACTCATTTTGTTTATTTAATAAGTTATCACCTTTTTTTTTTTTAAACATCTTTGCTTCCAACAAGGCTGCAAGCAACCACTAATTAGTGTTGGAAGTTACTGGAAGAGAAAAGATGAAGATTGTAGAGCAAGATAACGATTGACAGACGACTTAAAAGATTGCAAACTATATGAATCAGGAAAGCAAGATAAAGGAAGCAAATTCCAAAGAACTGATGTTTGAGGAAAAAGACTAGGCAAATAAGAGTTTTTGGAGCACTTAGGAACAGTAACAGAAAAAAGGATGAGACTTAATTGAACGACGATTAACATGAGAACAAATTTTTGTAGATGGCACAAGAGACGCTAGCTTTTTAGAGCAGTGCCCATTATAGTATTTGTAGAAAAGAGAAAGAGAAGCAACATTACGACGATGTGACAGAGGTTGAAGGTTGGTTGCAAGAGTAGGTCCAACTATGTTTACAATGGGTTTTTGCACCTTGTCTAAAAGAGAAAGGGCATCATTAGAAGATCCACCCCAGATATGGCAACAGTATTCCATACAAGGCCGGATTTGAGATTTATAGAGATAAAGAATAGAATCCAGAGTAAGAAAGTGACGAGCTTAATAAAAAGATGCAACTTTAGCAGATGCTAATTTTGCAACGGATTTCATATATGGTTTCCAAGAAAGATCAGAAGTTAATCCTAGAAGATGAAAAGATCAAAAGTTAATCCTAGAAGATGAAGGGTAGATGACTCATCAAGAACATTACTGTTCATAAATATAAGAAGATCTAAATTATTGTGATAACGATTGGCTGAAATAATTTAGTTTTATCTGAAAGTTCACCAGCCACTGTGAGCCCCATGCTGTAGCAGAAGTGAGATCATTTTCAAGCTCAAATGCCCCCTCCAAGCAATCAGAGAGAGTTGGCTTCTTATCATGACAAAAATAAATGGTAGTATCATCAGCGAACAATGCCACCTTAGATGTGAGAATATCTGGAAGATTGTTAATGTAAATTAAAAAGAGTATAAGGCCAAGGATTGAACCTTGGGGAACCCCTGAGGTTACAGAATAAGAAGAAGGGTATTGTCCATCAAGGACAACTTTTATACTACGATTGGAAAGAAAGGATTCAATAATCTTAAAGATGTTACCAGATATACCATAAAAAGAAAACTTATGGAGAAGACTAGCATGTCAAACAATATAGAAATGTCAAGAGCGATGGACTTAACCTCTCCACCTTTATTTAATGCACGATAAAACTTATTGGTTTTAACTGTTAGCAAATCAGCCGTAGAACCAGAAGATTGAAATCCATATTGATGATGAGAAAGTAAGTTATTAGATTCAAGATAAGAAATTAATTATTTGTTAATTAAAGATTCCTAAACCTTGCTTATTGGGACGGTAGTTTGACGAATCAGATCGTTCTCCAGAATTTTTAAAAATAGGGATAACAGATGCTGCTTTCCAGTTAATAAGTTTTGAATAGTTTTGAAAGGATAGATGACAGCTCAAGAAAACACTTCTGCAAGACTATAACAGGTATGTTGTCCGGGCCAAAATAAGGGTAAATGTGGAGAAACTGAGCACTGACTAGGATCAAAAACAAGACATAAGTCGAGTAGTGAAGGTTCGGGTTGTCTGGAAAGCGAGTTGGAAAGTTGACTATTTGAGTTAGGGATTGAGAAAGGCAAAAGTTGTGAGCTTTAATGCCTGCAGAGTCACTGACACTAGAGCCAAGCCATTCTGTGTGATGAACATTAAAGTCACCGACAACAACAATATTGGCTGATGGATAAAGAGAAAGGGCTTGGTCAATATGATCAGAAATAACATTAAGAAGAGTGCAGTCTTGAGATGAAGGAGAGCGATATAGAACAAAGAGAAAGATGGATTCAAACCTAGTTTCCTGACTAATGGGTGAATTCTTACGAATGTAAATGGCTAGGCCGAGCATGTGACTGTTGGAGTCTTTATGAATTAAAGGAAGATAACCATCAACACTCAGATCACAAGATAAGACAGCTGAACTCAAATTAGTCTCACAAAGAGCAAGTAGGTCTGGTGAACTTTGCAAGAGATAAGACTCAACAAAAGAGAAGTTACTTCGAAGACCACAAATATTAGTGAATGATAGGTTTAGCGAACTTGGTGATGACAGTGGTTTTTTGTGTTTTATAGTTTTTGTTACTTTATTCATTTTCAAATTTGTTAAAGAACTTGACTCGAAACATAGTACTCAGTACACTGTTTATTAACCCAAGCAATTGCCTTATTACTATTAATAAATCCTAAGCCGTAACAAAAGGCCTCAATGTGGTCTTGGCAATGCACACCTTTGATATTTTTAAGCTGTTGATGAAATCAGCCTTTGGAAAACCTGACTACCAGCCGGCAGTATTAGAGCTGTACCTTTTAAATTTATAAAACCCATTTAAATTTATAAAATTAAAGTTAATGCTTGGCTTAACTTAACTGTCAAATTTATTTAAAAATATTGCTAAATATTGTTCAATATTTAAATTTTATTTATTCTTAAAAAAAAATTAGCTCATTTTTATCGCATTTGTTATTTCGGTTTTCTTTCCTGGACATTTTTTTTTTACTCAAAATTAAATATTAAATAACGTGTTCCGAGACTAAATCAAGAATTTGCACAAAACGTAAGTTCAACTTATTTTATAGCACAAGTAGAGCACAGCAATTATTTTTTGATAAATGATATATACAACGGTATAATTTTAACAAATGGTGTTTGGAAAAATAATCTTTGCTTTCAAAACAAAATCACTAATAAAATAATAAACTTTTAATAAATAAAGAAGATAAATTAACAAAACTTTTTCATTTGTTACTTTCTAATTTTTTAAAATAAAAGATCTTTTTTATTTGCAAATTTTTAAAAATGATTATTTAAGAAATAATCATTTAAACAAATTTTTATATATTTTAATTCATTTAAACAAATTTTTTATATAATTTTTTTTTTTTAAATGTAATACTAAATTGAATTATTTAATATAAAAAAAATGAAAGAAATAAACATTTTGTAATAGTATTAATAAAAAACGAGTTGAACATTATTTGAACCGTTTTGCAGTAATTAATATTATTGCAGTTATTTAAAAAAGTTAATGTCTTTAAAAAATATAAAGATAAAAAGAATTTTATGACATCAAATTCACATTAAGCTAATGTGTTAAGCATTTGTTATTTAAAACAAGGCCTGTAATATGCACACAAAAATCTTTGAGGGATCAGCCATGAAATATCATTGATAATGTCATACTGAAATAGTTATCAATGTTTCTTTGTTTATGTCTTTATAAATAGTTATCAATGTTTCTTTGTTTATGTCTTTATAAGTAAAAAACTATTAACTTTGAATTATAATTAAAATCAATTTATAAAAAAGTAAAAAATAATTTAAAAAAATACTATTTAAATAAAACAAATATTATTTTATAACTAAATACTCATTAAACAACCAAATAAAGAACTTTTAGTAACAAATTTTCAAAAAAAGCTTTATGAAAAAGCATACCATGCAAATACGAGATGCTGTTTCTTGGAAAGATTCTGATGTCTTTAGAGCACAATCTGAACTGGTCTTATTAACTAAAATTGATATTAGCTGTTGGACCTAAATAACATATAATCTAACATCAAGTATTCCATACAGTACAGTTGCATGTATCAATAACATTTTAAAAATATTTATTAAATGTATATAATATTTATTAAATATTGATAGTAATAATACTTCTAATAACATTTGAAAGACATATTTAATAAAAGAAATATTTGGTGTAAAATATAATTCATAAGTTCCAATGATAAGTAAATTATGAGTCTGATAAGCTAATAGCAATTAAAAATGTACATAAAGACACAAATGATTTTAGTATTATAAGATTTAAGAAGTTGTGTTTAACTAACTACTAAGATAAATTTACAATATTTAAAATTAAAAACAAAACACTGCTAGAATGATCTTGCACCTTAGAGATAACTCACCTGATACATCTTAGAGATAACCTAATTAGAAATGCTGGATAAAAAAACGAAAAAAATGTTATGCATCTTAACTTCTAAGGTTTATTAAAGAGATGTTTTTGGATCTGTCTCAATACTAACCGTTTGTTTGATATTGTAGTCGCAGTAGAATTATAAAATTTTATATCAATAGACTCCTGATGTGATATCAATAGTTAAATCTCAGATTTTGTTGTAGTGAGAATCAAACTCAGCACTTCTTGCTCACAAAGCAAGTGCTCTACCACTACACTACCACTCCCCCCCCTTCCTCCACACCCCACTCTCTCCCCCCCACCCCATACATAAACAAAGTAACAAACTTATAATAAAATATTACAACAAAGTAAAATATAATAACAAGCTTACTATTATTAGTATTAGTTTTAAAACATATTATACTATAGCATATTTTTTCTTTACCTGTTCAAGATTCTGATCACTTAGAGCCTTTAAAATAGTTTGTTTGTTACTGTGTTTGAGAAAATGATCTTTGATCCAGCTTTGATTCAACAAAATCTTTAATGTTTGCCAGATTCGTGATGCTGTGAAATCTTGTCAAATAATTGATGTTTTTTAGTATATGATTTTTATTTTATAAAAAAAATCATTACTATATATTACTTTTACAATATACAAATTATTATAATAAAGGTGTAGAATACTATTATTATAAAAGTTGTATGTGTTATATACTTCATTCGATGTATTACATATTTAACACAAATCAAATTCAATACAAAATACAAAATAATATAAATAAAAATTAAACTTACTTATGTCTTTAGTTTGCATGAAAGAAGCCTCAAGCAACTCATTTGATGGAATAGGATCGAGTGTTCCATTCTCAAATAGATTCGTAAACACATCATCATTTGAAACATCTTCAAACTCAGAATTTTTGATAATAGCTTTAAATGAAAATAATTATTCTAATATAATAAATTATAATATCAAAATAAATAAACTATACCTAAAATTATAAATAAATCATCATACAAATTTGCATATTAAATCAATATATATATATCATATATATATATATATATATATATATATATATACATATATATATATATATATATATATATATATATATATATATATATATATATATATATATATATATATATATATATATATATATATATATATATATATATATATATATATGTATATATATATATATATATATAGCCATTTAAATAAAGATGAATGAGGTTGGCATGTAAAAGCATAAAACCTGCTTTTAAATTCTCCAGGCAAAGTATATTGTCTTAATCTGGTTATCAAGGTAAGACAAAGCATTTTGAAAAGTGTTTTAAAAAAGTTCAAACAAGAGAAATTTATTCACTCAAAAAAATTAAAATTGCTTTAGAGATTTATTTCATTCATTACCGGTATTATATAACTTATTACTGATATATATAAATTATTACTGGTATATATAACTTATTACTGGTATATACAACTTATTACAGGTATATGTAACTTATTACTAGTATATATAACTTGTTACTGGTATATATAACTTATTTTTATTTTTTTTTTAATTAATTCACCTCCTCAAGGCCGAGAAGACCACTACAGATGAGGAGGCTACTTTATTGTGGTTATAACCTTCTCTCAACTCTAACTCCGAAACACGAACCTTGACGAATAAGGCCACTGCACAGAGAAACAAGTTGAGCGCAGTACTACCAGGGACGTGGTGGGGATCGAGCTTGGAACCTCTTACTTATGAAGCAAGCGCTCTACCACTACACCACTACCGCATTTGATTATTGGTATATATAACTTATTACTGGTATATTTAAATTATAACTGGTATATACAACTATATATATTTTTATTATTATCAGTTTATTTAATTTATTAGTGCTTGATTTAAAGTATTACATGATCATTTTATATATTAGAGACATTATTATTATGTTGAAATATAAACTGACTGTAAATGTAATGTAAATAAACTGACTGTAAATAAACTGACTGAGGGTCTTGATTAGCATTTAGTCATAATCAAAGTCCTAAAAATAGCAAGAAAAATATTTCATCATCAACTACCTATAATATCATGGTCTGAAGCGTGCATTTTACTTAGTACTTGAACAGCTCATTCGAAAGAAGAAAAAAAACTAGAAAGAATGTCAGAACAAAAGGCTTCATTAGCAAATTATGTAGCAGAATGCAACAATATAAAACTTCTAACCAATTACCAATAGAAATTTGTTAAAATATTTAAATATATTTGAACCTCATTTAAAAACTTAACAAAATAGGTAAAAAGAAACTTATGCACTAGTTTCTACTTCTATCTATTTTATTAATAAATTTTTCTACCTATTTTATTAATAAAGTTGTTGTTAGATATTATTTTATAATATCTTACAACAACTTTATTATCAACAAAAATAATTAGATGTAAACATATATACAAAGTTACCAAGCAACAAGAAGTAACTTAAAATCAGATAATAGAGAATATTTAATGTCATTATAATCTCATCTAAATCAAAAAATCTAAAGAAGTTAACATATGATGATTTAATTGAAAGTGCTTCTGTTGTTAGTGTATATAATCAGTGTTAGACTCCAGGCTGCTATGGTTTCTGCTATCTACAATAAACTAGTGTTGATTTGCCTAAAACTGTTTTAACGAAATCTACTCTACACAGAAAATAATGCAAAATTATCGAAAATCTTATAAAAAATCTTATAAAAAATTATAATTCACTAAAGAGATAATGTATATTTGTGTACCTTAATTATTTTGAACAAACAATTATATTGCTTTAGGAGAAATACTATGACAGAATCTTGGTGATTTTTTAAAAGGAAAGAAACTCGTAGTCCACTTTGATGGGAAACTTGTTAGACAAGCTGGAGGAAAACAATTATCTGACATTTACCTGTGAGAGAATTGCAGTTAGTGTAACCAGTCCAGATTTGGAATGTGGAGATGTTTTTTTTGCTTGACATAGTGCAGGCCAACTAGGTCAAAGCAGGCTAATGTATTCTCAATCTCTTGGAATATTATGATATTGTTGATACAATAATATTTCAATATTGTATATTATTATTGGTCTTTGCTACAACACAATCGCAAACAACACTTTATTAGTCTCATATGGCGCATATGTTGTCACTATATTATTGAAGTACATATTAAACATTTGATAAATTCACTGATTGGCGTCAAGATTAAGTTACAAAGAAGAGAAATTTATGTGCATTTAAAACTTGGTCGAAGAATGTTGACAAGATAGATACATCATCAGATAGATCATCAGACAATCTAGTTAGGTTTAGCTGGACTTCTTTATAACAATATGGAAGTCACCAATCGTTTTTGAAAAAAGAATATTAAGTCAAATTTATGTCATATCAAACTGAAGACACAGAATGTGTTGTTGGTTGTAAAAACCACTGAAAAAAGTTGAACAAAAATCTAACTAAAATCCAGCAAAATTAATTTAAAGAGCTTGTTATATTTTTTCAACTTTTCTGTCCATTCTTCAACATATGTGACATAAATTTTACAGCACATAACGTTTATAATAAGAAATGTTTAACAAAAGAAATTTTAATACAATATCAAATACAAAATACAAAATACAATATCAAATCAAGTATTTTATAATATGATAATGTTTCAGGCCGGTGGCCAACATTGATAATCGCTTCATCCCATTGGACACATCTAATAACTGAAATTTCTACATTGATACAAGCGTTTCTTAATATAAACATTATAAAAATATAAACTTGCCCCTTTTTTACTCAGCAGTTTTTCCACAACCAATCATTTTACTTTTCTTTATCGAGCATTATCGTTTTCTAAGAGTCTATTGTTGATAATTAGCAACTAAAGCGACCGAATGTTATTCAAAACTTTTTAATAAATATTTCCGTAAAATATCTCTGTCACGTTTGGTAAAAATATAAACAAACAAAATGGCTGCAACATCGTTATACAATAATATTTGTTTAATTCATTTTGATGATATACCGAATAAATGCATTAAAAAATGCAGTATACACGAAAAAGGCGGTGCAAGCTTTAAAATAAAAATGGAGATGAGGCAAAATTTTCTTTTAGAACTATAAACGCTAAAACAGAAGTGGAGTTCAACTCAATAACAGATATTGTAGGAATGGAAACTTTGCCATGGGTTATTTTTACAATTCAAAATGTTACAAACGTATTTGTAATATTTTCAAACTTAAAAGAGCAGAAAATAATAAGCAGACAGAAAAAAGTGACTGGGATGAACACCGACAAACTGAGCTAATAGAATGTAAGAGATCTAATATAGATGATGAAATGCAACAACCGACATCTATAAATGCAAGCACTAACAAAGTTCAGCCAAAAAGAAAAAGATTTCAGTGCAGACAACTAAGTGAGAGTAATTATTTGTGGCCAGATATATGCATAATATGCCAAAAGAAACAAAAATGGAATAATAACAAGGTAAAATTGTACATTATTATCTAAATTTAATTAATAAACTATAGCTAATGCATACTTTATACTATAGTTTTTCTCGAAAATCTACTTTATTTTAATTTTCAACTTATCTTTTTGATAATAACTGTTAGGAGGGTGATAACTGTTTAGAAATATTATTTTTTAATGCTGATTTCAGGTATCCCTAAACCGAACACTCGAATCGCTCTCAAGATCAAAAACCTATGATTGTGGGAGGTTAAGAGTAGCAGCCAAATAAAAATCCGATGAAAATATTCTTATACATATTAACGGAATGGACTGTGTTGCTCTTGAAGTTAAATACCATCGAACATGCTACATAAGTTATATAAAGTGTTTAGCAAATCAACACAAAGGTCAGCCTAAAGTTGAATATTACAGAAAATCTTTTCGTATATTTTTAAATGAAATAATAAAAGAAAAGTTAATTAAAAAGAAGAAAATCATGTTTATGTCAAAGTTGTTTAGTTTGTTTGTTTCAATTGTTTATCGTGAAGAAAATATTGATGCTAATAATTATAAAGTGTCCCATTTTAAGTCAAGGATTTAAGCGGCTTTCCCTCAATTAATTTTCCATACACTTGGTAGAAGAAATTCAAGTGAAATTTTTGCTTGAAAATCTATCAAGTGGCCATTTTGTTGAAAAGAGCCTTGTTTATGATAATGAAGCATCACAAAGTGAGTCTTCTCAAACAGAACCCTTGTCAGATACTGATAAACCTCAAAATATCAACTATGAATTTGTTGACATAAGTAGCATATATAGAACAGCGTTGCATTTTGGAAATATAATAAATACAATTCCTGATTTCTTTTCAACATGGCCTCCATTATTTTCTGAATTCTCATTTAAATATAGAGAACATTGTACCACCTGGGTTATTTAACTTTTTTGTTTGGTTTTTGGGTATTGATGATGAACCAAAAATTGAATCCTACATATGTATAG